ATGGAGGTCTGTCGCTTCTAGGCTTTCCCACATGCCAACTACAGTATATATATACACACACATTTACACCCACACACACACACACACACATATATATATATACACAATTCTTTAAAGTTTGCACTGCTATGGTTTGGTGTCACAATAATTAACAACAACGATGTAAAACCTTTCATTCAATGCTCTTTGCTTCTCTGAACTTTTCTATTCGGCGCTTAAATTCATGAGATGGTGACCGCTTGTTGCAGGTTTACAGCTATATGTAGCTACATAGGTAACATCTATATAATGAATATGTATATATTCATAGATTCTACGTTTCTTTTTTCTTTTTTGTTTGTTTCAGTAATGATCCGCACACTGTTTCTTTTCACGCTCAGAATGAATTTAAGTTTGGACGTTGAGAGAAAATGATAGTCGACCATACAAATCCCAAACTATTCCTTTGTTCTTTTTTAGGTGATACCTTGCAAGGAGGGGATTAATGCACTTTTCCCTTTCACATTTTAATATTATTTACAGAATAAATAAGTGACTAAACATTATTATATTATATTAGTAAGGTTACCGTGATCAAGTTTAGTTAAGTTTCCGTAAATTTTATTATGTTTTTTTTAGTATACCGAACGTTCTGTGACAATAAATTTTCTTTTAGTTGGAGATACTTACAATAAATTTACAATATGACCCACTTTTTTTTTTATTAATAAAAAAACTAATATAAAAATATAATCAATACTTAAAAGATGATAAAAGTTGGAGATCAAATTAATAGATTAATAATTTTCAAAGGGAGGGTATACTATGAGCTCGTAGTTACCGGCCTACAATACTTGACTTAATGAGTATAAAAATTTAACTTATTAGTATATTGATAGAGTTACAGTAATTAAATTGGTCTAAGTTTCAACAAGCGCATTATGTCTTTAGGCAAAAAAAATATTCTTGACAACTAGTTTTTTTTAAATGAGATAACAATGACAGATAAGAAAAATTTAAATATAATATTTTTTTATATTAAAAAATTAACAGATAAATATAATTAATACTTAAAAAGATGAAAGATATATACAGTTAGAGATCAAATTAACGTATTAATATTTCGAGATCGTTCTAATTCTAGGAATTAATTTAACACTTTCATAGGACTTGTTGGGGGACATCTCAAATCATGATGCCTATTGCCTTGATCATTGGGGGCCAAAAGCAAACATAGTAACTCCTGTAATTTTTGATTCATGAGGTTTTTGTGATTTTTCCTGCTTATTTATGGCTTATCTAGGTTTTCGCTTGGTGTCATACACTTCACTATCCATATTCAATATATATATATATATATATAGTACTAACCTATAGTATAGGTTTTTATTAATTTATTTTCAGAGTAAGTGTAATAATAGAGAAATACCTTTTAATAATTTTACCTAAACAAAATTCCATTGACTAATTTTTTCCCTAAATAATAAGGTGATCGATCAATCTCCAAATGCAAACCGGTTTAATGAAACTAATGTTTTACACTCATGCTCATACAATGGATAAAGATTCAATGCTATTTTAGGAATTAGATTGATTGTATTGTTGCAAGGGTAAAATTTAGATTGTTACAAAATTTCAGACAAGCTAAATGTTTTTAAAATGTATATTTTTTTGAAAAATATAAAGAGTTTTACTACGACTATTAAAAGTTTAAGTTAATCCAACTAATCATTTTATACTCTAATATATCTATGAATGCACACGAGTCAATTACGTTCAAAATGTGGATTAAGCACAAATCTATAAACTTTGTGAAAATTGTATTTTTTTTAAAAAAAATAGAAATAACTATCAGAATTTGAATACTATATCTCTAAATTTGATAAAATCTTAAATAATTGATTAGAGTAATTATTTAAAAACTTGAAGTTAATAGAAAATGGTCAAATCAATTATTTATATTCTAACAATGTAAGCAATTAAAAATATTATATTTTTTATAAAATTACTTCACATGTAAAGAAGTACATTGATAGATTTAACTCCAAAATATACTTTTTAGAATGATTCTATTGTAGGTAGATAGAATGGAACCCTCAAATGATAAGGCACAAAGGCAAAACATGGTAGTAAGAGATCTTAGAGACATACTTATATCACCACCAGATGAGAAATGAATAAAGTCAAAACTTGAAACATGGTACTACATATCATCAACATGTGATTGGCGACGTAGAGACATAATAAAAATCATAAATAACAAGTTTAGGACTTAAAAAGTCATTACAAGGGTAAATGTTTCACATTAGTAGACTCAAGGCCATCCATGGTAATTGTCTCACAATTATCAATATTTAGTAGGAACAGACAAACATAACAATATAAACAAAAAAAAAAAATTAAACCCTTGAAGTGAGACGATCACCAAACTAATTTCTATGAGTTTAAGTATCCTAAATTAAAAAAAAAAATGATTAAAAGAGGGCTGCACTAATTATTTTATGCACATGTCGAAGTATGGTAAGATAAAACATTTTTTAAATAAAGGAGCAAAATTCTGTTACAAACTAGCTTAGTCACATGATATAAACCATGGTAGATATGAGTTTCCATATAACTGAAAATGATATAATGAAAGCACCACACTTCTAACTAAGGCTCCATAGGATACCCTTATTCCTATCACACATCACATAAAAACACCCACAATAAATTAGACACCTATCCCTTACCACCCACCTAATTAGAAAAATACCTAAATCCAACATACTAAAATACCTTGAGATGACAAATGCAAATATATCCAATGTAATGTCGAAGTAGGACCGTTAGAAAGTTAAAATGTTCATTTTGATTGGAAAAAACAACCCCTACAAAACTAAACACCACTCACTAACATTGTTATATAACAACTCACAAATTTGAGATTTTAGGGTGATCAAGGACATCCTCCTATACAACTCTGATTTATGCTTTTTTTTTGTTTATTCGTGTCTTCATACCTCTTATACTTTAATAACCAATCATATATCATTGAAATCATACATATACAAGATTATCTTATTCCTAGCTGCCAACTATTCTTTGCTTGGGGGAGCCATAGACTGACTAACCATGTTAATTGTATGGTCAAATATAAATTATTATATATTTATTTGTATAGGGGACAAATTCCATGTACTTTTAGCCAAAGCAATTTTGCACTGGCCTACTTGGCATTTCTCAAACGAGGAATGAGGATTGACATACTTGCATTACACAATTAGAAAGAACTATTTATGTTTGATAAATTAGACAAAAGTATAAAAATTACCACTATCCTTAAAAGGATGAGGTAAAGGTAGTTTGCAATGATGAAACTAAGGGCACCTTTAGTAAAAGTTATAGCAGGAATAATACATTGAATCTCTTAAAGTAGTCCCAAAAGGTATCAACATATAGATCCACTTAGACAAAGCTAAATTTTGTAGGTAGAAAGAGCTGGTGGTATATACTCCACTTAACACTTGTCCAACCCACATTCTAGTGAAGATCCAAAAGAACCTCCTCAAGTGGCCCTTGTCTTTAAGGCCTAGGAGTTGGAACATCAAGGTAATATAACTTTTATCATAACTTATGCAATATAACTGATGAATAAAAAGTTGAAAGCAAAAATTAAAAGTATTTTTTTTTATCGAAATTATTATGTGATAAACAAAGAAAATGACATAAAAGTGATAAATAAGACGTCGACAGTTAATTTTAACCCCAACCATTAACCAATTATTGGAGTAATTCATTCCATAACACCCATAAAAAAAGTCATTTCATAACATATAATAACAGATAAAAAATCAACTTACTCATAAAGTTCTATAAGTGAAGCATAAATCTCAAAAATATATTATAATACTTTTTATTATCTATCTCTTGTTTGATTATTTACTCTACTAGTTATTTGTATGTATGCAAGTTATTTATCATAAAGAATAAATAATATTTTACTGTAGATTGCATGTATTGTGAATAGTTTAAATAATTTAAAATTTTTAAAAAAGTAGATGATAGAATTTCTTAAAAGGGAGTTTCAAAGAATATCACAAGACAAAAGACCTTACTATTTAATCTCTTTACAGTGAGAAGGAAATAATATCTTCCTATAAGATATCACGTGTTAAAAATAGGAAAAAAAAAATCATCTTCCATAAAAGACTAGTCTCAAGTTTAGAGGATATTAATACCACTAAATAATAAGGTAAACAATAAGTAAAAAGAAAGTAAATAGTAAAGTATCAGGAGGAAAAAAAATCTAATAAATTAAAAATATTAGATAGAGGAAATTTTCAGTCTATTCTTTAGTGGATAGATAAAACTTCACATTTTGATAAATAAATAGTATGAAAGGTAGTTTGTTGAAAAGTCGATGGATATAGTCTATTTCTTGGTAGATAAATCAGATAAACAACAAATCCATCTATTAAGAATCAAATGATATTAAGATTCAATCCTATCGGAGAGATGGTAACCATTAATCCCCTAAAATTATGACTTTCTCTTTATCTTTATCTTTATCATTAATCAAAGCATCGACCATTACTCTCTGCTAGCATAAGTTCGTAATTCATGTCATTACTCACCTTACAATAATAAGATAGTAACTCCATTATTGTCAATTCTTGTCATACCATTACTCATCTTAATATGAGAATAATAACTGAATCAACTACTAGTATCAATTGAAACCATTCTCCGATTACCACGTGAGTTGGGTTCAGAACATCATGTGATAGTTCAGTTTAGTGTCCTACAGAGACAAGCTACCCCCACAACCATGGATTTTGAGATCAATTTCTCTATGAAGGTTTCGAGACTGCTTTCACGCTTAGCGATACTATATGCTGCTTTTTGTATGAAGGTGCAGAAAATGAGTTAGTTGTGTCAATCCTCCCCTCTTACCGTCACAAGGTCAACTTACTATATTATACCAAAGAGTATTAAACTTAGACACAATAGAAAACCTTTTCTTCCCCAAAATGCTTATGTTTAACGTGACTTTTTAATGATGATGCAGTTCATATCTCACGGTTGGGAGATATGAAGCTTGTGAACCATGCGCATCTATGATTTTATTATATGGATATAAACATTCACTAGAAAAACAGACCATAACCGATCAACTAAAATCTGCTCCCACAAGCCATACCAAAACGAATTGTATGGCACTTCATGCTTACAATATAAGATGATCGGGCAGTAGTAGATAAGAAGTTAAGAGTTTGCTAATCTTTCATTGCTGATGTTGCATAAGCGCTAGTCTCATATTTACCATCCCACCTGCATGAGTCAAGAAAAGACAAATAAATCATTTTCTTGGCTTTGAGTGACAGATATTTTTGCAAAAATTTTACATAGCTACTCAAGTTATTCTCTGAAGACTCACAAACCTGCATTCTTCTTTATCTGGAACTTGAAGCTCCAAAGCCTCCTCAAAGGGCTGAAATACCAAGTTTACTTTCTCATCCTCTACACTGTCCAGAGTTGGTGGATCCCACTGAAATAATTGTATGGTTAGGAGAGATGAAAGATAGATAAGAAGTTTATTATATATCAAATTCCAGACTAGTAAATTAGCTAGAGAGGGAGAGATGACAAAATTAGTAAGTTTATTATATATCAAGTTCCAAACTGGTAAATTAGATAGACAGGAGGAGAGATGATAAAGCTCAGTGACAGGGAGGATGCTGCCATGAGTCCCATCAAGTTAAAACTGTCTATTGTGTGATATTTCCGTAGAATAAAAGAAAGCAGAAGAAGATGGAAACAGAGAGGAGAAATGAAGTGAAGAAGAGAGACCAAGAGAGAGGAGTCAAATCTTTATTCATTCTCTGTTATTGATCATTATCAGCCTTCTGCCTTTCAGAGGCTTTTATTCATGGAAAGTCCTGCCCAAACTACTAATAGCCAACTAAGCAAAGTGGTCTATTTTCATCTCTCTTCTTACAACTACCACTGATTACTAATTCTATCAGATATCAGATAACAGAAATAATCAGCTAATATAATCATACGTTTAGGTACACAAATACTGTAATCAAGTTCAGGTAGAGCCAAGCAGATTTGGTAAGAGAGAGAGAGAGAGAGCGAGAGAGAGTACCTTCGGAGAATTGTCCTTGTCAATGGTTAGAGCTCTAATACCCTATGGTGAAACAAATGAGAATTTCATCTCAGAGGAAAAACATCATTAATAAACTGAAGTTGTTTTTCAGTTCCTTTCAGTGCGTAGCTCTAGTGAGTACCTCATAGACATCTGGAGATATTGCCATTCTTAGTATGTTCATTGTGAGCCTAAATTCCTTCTTCAGACATTCAGACAGTGTTTGCTTCCTACCTTCGCGAATCTGAACAGGTTAAAATGATTCACTTCAACTAAATGCATGAATCCAAGAATAAGTTGCTATGGACAATTAAAACTCAATTCCAGTTGATAAATTCAAGAGACAGAGATGGTGTTGGCCAGTTGAGATCGAGGTAGAGGTAGAGGTTAAGGTCAAGTGAAGGTGGAGCACATCTGTTACTATTATACCATGTTCCATATAAGTTAACACCGTGCTCTTTAGGGGCAAATAAGCATAGATGAGAAGTGCCGTTTGGATAGTTCATTAATCATTAGTAACCAATACCGATCTTAGTGTTGTTTTCAATCCTGTTGGGGATGATCTTTTCAGCCCCTTTAGCACCGGACCTATCCATCCATTTCCTTCTTTCCTTGCTTCAGCTTCCTGAAAAGCAGAGTAAACTTTATACAGTTCAACTATGACCGGAGGAAAGAGAAACATAAACAACATACTTTTGTCCTCTTGACAGAAAAATGCAGAGCAGTACAAGATAGGCAAGAAGGAAAGAAGAAAACTCACAAATGATTGTAAAATGTCAGTAACACTGTCCTTGGAAAAGCACTCATCAATTATTGACTGCCTGCAGGTTACAGAACCCCAGTGAAATAGTTAAAATATAGTATATATTTCCTTTATAGTTGTTTTCTACTATAAATATCCTTTTTTTAAAAAAAATAAAAGTGTAGTACTAATGAGCACCAAGGGGGTGTAACCTACATACAAAACTTTTAAAATCTATCAACATATCAATCAAGTCTATAAATCCTCACTACTGTAAAGAGAATGACCCTTGATAGAAAAACATAGGATTTGGAACTACGTATCCTTAATCCTATCAAAAGACTATTCCATACCCCAAAAAGACTTTTCTAGTTCTTTGTTCTCATAAATTTATAACATAGCCAGCGGGATAATGCCTAAATTCTTGTTATATCTTTTACCCCCATGTATGCCTCTATAGGTCCATATTGCCTCTTTGACTGAACCTGCCATAACCCAGTTGACCTCCATAAGACTACAAGCCAAACCCCAAAGCCGGTGGGAAACATTTCTAAGACTGAACCTGTCAAATGAACTGGGTCAAGAATGAACCTCTATAAGACTGAACCTGTCAAGTGGTAGAACTTTTTGTTATTCTCAGTCTCCATTTCTAAGTTTCTTATCAAAGCCCTTTTTCATCTTGGTTGGAGACAGACAAGGAAAGTGTCATTTTTAGACATGTACTCAGTCAAGGAGTCTGATGGAAACATTTTTAGGGTTAACAGAGAGAACAAAGGACAAGAGAGGGTAGGAAGGAGATAGGAGAAGAAAGGAAGAAGTAGGAGAGAAAAGAGAAGAGAATAAAGACAAAGAATATCTGAAAGATTGAGGAATTTGATTAGAGACATTTCATAAGTTTCATCATAGGACCTTCTGCATACATTCCCTTCCTTTTCTACTGATTTCATCACAGTATAAGACAAAAGACGATAAAAGAAAAGCAGGAAAGCAGATCTGCCCGAGGCAGTACAGTAGCAAGCACAAAATCTAACTACTCTAAGATTATTGATTAAGCACCTAGTTAACTAAGTAGTGAGGCCAATTTGCTGCAAACCCAGTAGTGTCTCACGAGGTCACCATTACAGGGCGTGGACGCCTCTGGTAGAACTTCAGCGGCCTTACAGAAAGCAAAAATATCTGTATTGAGTATTTGAAAAAAAATGTCTGCATTGAAGATGAATGATATTTGGGGTTTGCTCAATCTTCCTCCCAAGAGTTCTATTATTGGGTTATCAATGTTGAACTTCATCGGAAAGGGTTCATTAATCGTCTCAAGACTGATTGCTGGTCAAAGGCTATACTCAAGCTTATAGTGTAAATTATTCTGAAAATTGTTCTCAACTTGGATCACTTCGACTTTAAGTGCTTATTTCTTTATAAGCAAACCCACCTTTGGTTGGACGCTAGAATGCTTTCTTACATGGTGCCTTAGAGAGACAAAATACATGGAGCAACCTTTAGGATTTATTCCCGGGGGAGTTCAATTTAGTTTTTCAATTGAAAATGTCTTTGTATGGGTTAAAACAGTCTCCAAGAACTTGGTTTGGAATTTCGGTAAAGTTATGATGAGCTTGATTTGCATCAAAGTAAAGTTGACCATTATGTTTTATGTCGTCAAGCTACAACTAAACTATTGTTACTCTTTGTATATATTTGATGATATTGTTATCAAAAGTGATGCTATTGAAAAAAACTTGTCTTAAAAAATACTTTTCGAACTAAAGATTTGAGGCCTTATAGTACTATTTGGGCATCCAGGTAGCTAGATCAAAATTGGGAATTTATTTGTCACCAAGCAAATATGTTCTTTATCTTCTGACAAGACAGGGATGTTAGAAATGAGGGTGAATCATTGAGGACCCTGGTGCATTTAGGAAGGAAGTTGGAAAATCTGAATTATCTCATTTTGAGGTATCTAATCATTTCATTCACTACAATGATGTAAGTCAATTTATGGACTCTACTTGAACTAGTTATTGGGAGGTTGTTGAGTGGACATTGCAATATTTTAGAGGCGCACTAGGCCATGGATACTCTATAAAAATCATGGACATATTTTGATCAGAACCAATGCTCATTGTGCTACTTCAGCTTCTGATCATAGATCCACCATGGGTTGTTGTGTCTTTATGGATGACAAGATAGTGTCTTGAAAGAGCAAGGACAAGTCTGTATCCAAATCTAGTGCTGAGTTAGAATATTACGATAGCTCATATAATCTATGAGTTGATTTGGTTAAGACATCAACTTCGCAAGCTTAGTTTTTCATAATCACAACCCATAGTTACTATATAATAGCTAAGCAATAGTCCATATTGCTTTTAACCCATTTTTTCAGGAAAGAACTGAACACATTTAGGTTGATTATCATTTTATCAAAAGAAAGCTTCTACGGAATGTCATCTGAACTATTCAATGTGAAGTCAACAGACCAACTAGCTTACGTATTATTAGGAAGAGCTCATGTTAACTTCATTTTTAACAAGCTTAGTATGTCTGATAACTATGTGCCAGCTTGAGGGGAAGTATTGCAAAAAAGTATATACTTCCTATATAATTATTTTCTAGTCTAGGTCTTTTTTGTGAAGTTTTTCCCTATTCATAGTTTTTCTTCTGTTTGCATAGGGATCATTATAAATGTCTATATATAGTTTCTTTCTAATATATAATAACAGTTACAATATTTTCCACAAAAAGTTAATAACCTACTGAAAAGGAAACTCTCTTTTGGTTACATTTTGCCAACCTAGATCAGGGCAGTGGCAAAAGCCTAATTGGCACAGTACCTAATAATGCACTTGCACAAAAGATAGTGAGAAATATTTATGATGCTAAATAATTCAGGATTGTTACTTGTTCAATATGCTTTCTTCATCTATCTGCACTTCCACGGAGGATTCCTCGATTGCAGATTTGACTGCACTTTCACTGTGAGAATTTAAGCTCATGAGACTCTTTTCTAGCTCGGGCATTTTCTGTTATACAGAAAAGAAAATACATTAGTATGCCAAACCTCTTATTCCATAGGTACAAGTGGGTACACAGAAACATATCCACACATATATATTAAATTTTTAAAAACAAAAATATTATATATGAAAAAAATAAGAAAACAAGCTGCTTTGGAGCAGGTAGATATCTGAGTCTGACCTTAACTAAGCATAGCAGATTAACTCAAAACCACAAGTGTCCCATGAAATGCATGTCCAGAGATTTGGCGAGTAAAGAAAGAAACTTTCGTTTGTATGTTATCAAAACTAAAGTTTTATCTTTGTGATTCATTCTTATTCTGCTGTGTAATGCTTCAGCAACCTGTGTTCCCGAAGTCTGCCTTTTTACGTTCAAAACTTATATTGCTTGCAAAACCTAATAGATTAACATAAAAAAATATGAGTTTGTGTGAAGATATATTTCACTGACCGTTGTAGAGTGTTTGATCCACTTAAAGAAATTGTACAGGAAAAGATTAAATTCAAATATGAAGATGTACATTTGAAAGTCAAGACTAGAGAAAGTGAGAATGAAACAAAGTGACAAACTTCTCTCATCCTATATAATCTCTCCGAAACATGAACCCACATTAAGCGGTATGTAAAACCTTGAAAGAGTTTTGAGAAGCCCAATACGACATGGATCACAACTAAACTGCTCTGCTCGTATAGTCGAGACCTCAACACATTATTAAATTAGTTTACATGTTTGTTTATACTCTGACTTGAGTTATTTACGATAGTAATGATTTACAAAATTTTGCGTATCTATGCAAAAACAGCTCATTTTTCTCAGATGGGTTCAGCCATTTTTGTAATTTAGTACCTTTGACGTTTTAGTTAGATCTAGCTTTCTAGTTTCTTTGCGCATTTTTAAATATATCTCTGTATAAATTACGTTACATGTCCAAACAGTGGATATCATGAACCCATGATTCCAGGTGAAATTCGAACTCACCTCAGAGGGGACAAAATGGGTTGCTAGGCCTGCTGCAATCAATTCCTTACCATTCAACCTGGCCCCAGTTAGTGCCAAATATTCCCCTGCACAAAATTTTCATATCATCATTTGAATGTGAAATAGGATGAAAGAAAATTCTCCTTCATCCTTTTCGCACATATGTTTCACAGCTCTTCAAAAAAAAATCAGCTACATTAAATGTTTGTGTAATTTACCAAATACCCTTTTGCTTTCATCTATCTACTTTTACAATGCTTACCTAAATGCCCAGGGAGATGGGAAAGGATGTATGAGAAACTGCAATCAGTATGAAATCCAATACTTGCTTCTGGAGTTGCAAAAACCTAATAAAAGCATCATAAAGAACAATAAGATTTGTTCTAAATATACCAGATAAAATCATAGTCTTTTCAATAGATATCAGCATCTATGCATGGTAGCATTTAAAATAACTAACAAACACTCACAGTCTTCTCTGTGACAACTGAGAACTTCATTGGAACCATCAACGCTGCGCCACCTCCCATTGAAATTCCATGGACTAGCGAAATCTGTCAATCACAAAAGCAATCCATTTGCAATTGTCAACGTAATGCACATCTGAGGGGTAGAAATGAAGATCTTGATTCCACATGTTCGTCATATGAGAACATAAAAACGTACCAAGGTCTTCTTGTAGGTATGAATGTGATAGCAAAGCCAGTACATTCTATAAACCACTTCAAGGCAGGAATCCTCTGATAAAGCAAAACTTTATGAGTATCTTAGTTATATTTATTATTGTATAGTAATAGTAACACTTATAATAATAGTATATCAAATTAATTTTTTGAAATAAATGATGAGCATCCATGCCAGAAAGTGCAAATTCTAGGTTGTGTACAGGATTAAAGTTCACACTTCACAGGATTAGGAAAGAAAACTGAGAATTGCTTTCAAGTTGCTTGCATTTACTTGTTTTCCTGCCATCATAGAACATTCGTAGATCCCCTCCAGCAGAAAAAGCACGGCCAGCTCCCTGAATAAACATTAGCAGCAAACGGAGATGTAGAAGGTCTATAAATGGAGTTATTTTGTTCACGGGTATACTGTTATATTCTTTCTCTTTTCATTATTATTTGTCGCTCATAAATGACTTCACACACTCTACTGGCCACTTTTGGTTATTTCTTTCAGTAATTAAAAAGTGGATGCTATGTAAATTATAACTGTCATATAAAATAATTTCTAATGTCTATGATCGAGTTAAACCTGAAACCTATGCATCAATAGAAGATTTTTCATAAAAGTAAAACATTTGCAAAGATCAATATTGCTAGGTCGAAAATTCAGTAGGTATTACAACTGACCTTAATTAATATAAGCTCAGCAACATCATCTTTCTCCCATTTCTCCAGATATTCTGCTAGCAAGGATACCTGATTACATGGACTGCCAATTAGTTCAATTCTAAATACATTCCCATTTTATTCATTCACTAAATCATTAGACCTAATCTAAATTACATCATATAATTTTTACATTTGAACTAACTGCTCCCTTTTTAGAGTAGATTGCAGACAGATTCAAGATAAGGCTTCATAATTTGTCAGATTACATGAAGAACTAGTGTATAAAATGAATGGGAATTGAAGTAACTAGAGCTGAAAAAAAAAACAATATGTTCAACTTAAAGCTGAATCCAATTCAATACGAGCAAAATATAATGAAGATACCACATCGGATGAGATGACATTCAACTGACGAGGACGGTTGAGGGTTATCAATCTCACACGCCCTACTTCTTCTCCCAGAACAACCTGTAAATTAATCGAGGCGA